CCCTACGATCTTCATTATTTGGATGGTATCAGTCCCTATTCGACCTTGGTTCTCAGTCGATGTCCCTTTTAATAACGTACCCAGAAGGGGGCCTCAACTGGTCGTCTTCGATTCTAATCTTCGATTGATATCGATTATGTACATCGACCCAGGTAACAGTCGGGGTACTCAATCAAGTTCTACTTTAACTGATGTGAAGCCATTGAGCTTCATTCATTTAGTGCTTGGGTGAAATCTTGAACGGCCCAATGGTTCGTGACCGGTGGTAAATCCATTCGTTCCATTTGGAAACGAGATACAAACTCTCTTAGCATCTCGTTATCTTTTTGCCTTACCTTGAAAAAGTCTGACTTCCTGGTCTCGACCTTTATGGCTCCGGCATGTGCTTTACAAAAGAATCTGCAAGCATGGCAAAAGAATCGATAGAGTTAGGTGGTAAATTATGATACCATATCATTGCTCCGTTTGACAGGGTTTCCCCGAATTTCTTTAATAATACGGATTCGATCTCGTCGTCCTCTAGATCGTTCCCTTTAATGGCACATGTGTAAGAGGTGACATGTTCGTTGGGGTCGGTCGTTCCATTATATTTAGGAATTTCAGGCATGCGGAACTTCTTGGGGATCGGTTTAGGAGCTACGCTCGGGGGGAAAGGCTTTTATACGAACTTTTTGGAATCCAAATCCTTTAATATTGGTGGTGCCCCCTGGATCTGATCAACCCTGGAGTTATAAGTTTCTATTATTTTGTCGTTTGCTTCAATCCTATTTTCTCCTGACTCTATCCGTTTTGTCAGTTCCTCGAGCATCTTTATAATTTCAGGGTTAGTCCTCGATTCTTGTTCATTTGACCTTACTACAGCTGGCCCTGTTCTGTGGGTGACCTCTCGGGGTGGACCGGGCTCAGGCCTGCTCGGTGCCTGGGTTTGGCTCTGCAACTGAGCTATTGCTACCTGTTGAGCTTGAAATATTTCGAAAATCATACGTAGATTGATCCCGTCTTCTCCAACATTTTGGGTATTTCGAACTGCAGATCGAATTCCACCATGAATACTATTTTCGGGGCCAGAATGTTAGTTCGCTTCGATGGTCACATGCGAATTAACGTCAATTGGATCCACGGCCCGAGTCCCAACGGGGTCAACGGGTGGCCTTTCATCCCCGGGTGTCACGTTGTTATTCTCATCTTGATGGCCAAATTTGTTGTCAATAGGTAGGGCCATTAACTAAGAGTTCGTCATTTTCAGCCTGAAATCAAAGACACTTCAAATAGTGTGTGTTTTATAGAGGTTTGTATCAAAATAACCACTATTATCCTTAGCCCCAAGGTGGGCGCCAAACTGTTTACCCAAAAAACGGATAAAGTTGAATTTATACGTAGTTCTAAGGATATGTGATATAAATTGATACAAATTGGGAAAGATATGTAAATGAATATCGAAATTAGTTATAAAAGAAATGAATGCAAACCGAATGAACTAGTTAGCCTAAGCCTTCAAGTTTTATCCCATTCAAATTGAGTGAAGAATGATTGGTAGAAGAAACAATATGACTAAATATCAAAAGCCAAAAAAAAGGATAGTATTTGCTCACTTTTCTGTATATCTCAAAATGAATCTGTCCCCTCTACAAATGATAACAACTCTTAATATAGTGGGGGATTTCTATTTTGGATATAATTAAAAATACATAATGAGGATCCCATGATAGATTAATTAATTATCTTTTTCTTGATTCAAGCCATGATTTTTGCTGAGATTCTCCCCCTAATTGCGGCTATAACGACTTTTTTGTTTCTTGGCTCGATCTTGATCTTGGCCGATCTTGATCCAGATTGGTTTCTGGGGCTTGAGCTCAATCTTGGCCGATCTCTATTTGTTCGACCTCGATGTCTCGAGCTCGATCTTGACCGATCTCGATCTAGATTGGTTTCTGGGGCTTGAGCTCAATCTTGGCCGATCTCTATTTGTTCGACCTCGATGTCTCGAGCTCGATCTTGACCGATCTCGATCTAGATTGGTTTCTGGGGCTCGAGCTCGACAATCAAACTCTACATCATGGCTCGATATTACAATGACGAACCTTAGTCCATCATGTTCCAATCTCGAAGGTCAAACTCGATTTTGACCGTATACATTAGAGTTAGAAGATATTTTATCGGTTGCGTAAGGGTTATCAACGGGATTTGTAATGTCCACGGTCATACCACCTATTGCGATTTGTATTTCATTTGATGTTTACAAGGGAAGCAAAGAAGAGAAGAATGGTAAGGAGTAAAAATACATAAAGTCCTAAAGTTTAACTTGTTGTTCAGTTTAGCAAACAAGTTAGAAAAGACCAATAAATTTGAATACCAGCAATTAGCTCGAATTTCCATTAGAACAAACTTTGTAAATTATACATAGCAGAAAGAGAAGAAGATGGAGATCTGTTGATTTTTGATATCTTTCGTTTTGGAGAGGAATAAGATATTCATAAACTCTTTAGGTGTCTGTTAGAATTAACAGACTTATTTTGCGAATAGGCACCTTTTTAAGACAAATAATCACCTTTTCAAAACCATTAAACTGTTAAAATGTTTTGATAATTTAAAAACGTTCTTTCTTAAATAACAAAATAAGTGTCCAAGTGCCCAATCTTGACTATTAATAATATAGTCAAATTTTAGTTTCCCTCCAAAACACCTTTCAAATTTTTTAAGCCATGTAAAAAAAAAGGAAGTGGTTATATACACTCTTCCTTTCTTTATTTGTCCAAAGAAGACGAGTTTCCTCCTCTTAAAAGCTAACCCATCAACACTAACTAATCTAACACGTTCATTTGTGTAACAACACATATTTCTACAACACACATAAAAACCCAAGTCTCTGGGTAAATCAACCAGTTCTTTCACTAAAAAGTTAATTTTAGTGAAGTACCAAGAGCTTTAACACTCATAACCTGCATAATAAACCCAATGAAAACTATACAATCGAAAGTATTTAAGAAATTTTTATTTCTTGAAGAAGAGAAAATAGATTCTCAAATTATAAGCATTATGGAAAGGCAAATACACAATGGAAGAGAATCCAAATAGATGTTATATTTTTTAATCATATTCAAATATCACTGGCTAAAGTAATTCCAAAAAGTCAATAAGTGTAAATCATGTTTATTTGAATAAGGTAAATATACATTCCGATAAACATATTTATTTTTAACCTATTAAAACTAGCCCTAGGGTAGCCATTAGAGAGCTTTGGGTTGCTAGTGAAGAAGAAGAAGATTCTAGAGAGAGAAAAAATGCAAAGCTCTTATTCAGTGTAATCAATCTCTGAACAGTGATTGTGCATATATATATATATATATATATATATACACTAACGCACTCATCTAACTAACAAACCTTATACACATGCGCTAACTAAGAACTCTAACTAATTCTAGAAGTGTACACCATAAATAGCTCACTGTACAATCACTACTTATCTCTATACTCCCCCTCAAGTTGAGAATGGAAAATATTTTTCATTCCCAACTTGGAGACTAAAACTACATGTTGACGATGCCCCAATGCCTTTGTCAAAATGCCAGCTGGTTGTTCCTGAGTAGCTATGTGTGCAGTCTTTATCAACCCTTCTTGTATCTTCTCTCTGATGAAATGACAGTCAATGTCAATATATTTTGTTCTCTCATGATATATGGGATTTGCAGCAATCTGTAGAGCAGCTTTGTTGTCACAATATAAATCCATAGGCAGCTTGACACTAACTCCTAGCTCTTTCATCAGCCCATTCAACCATGTTAGCTCAGCTACAATGTGAGCCATGCTTCTATATTCTGCTTCAGCTGAACTCCTGGATATGGTGCTTTGCTTCTTTGCCTTCCATGAGATTAGTGAGGTTCCCAGCTTGACACAAAAACCTGTAATTGACTTTCTAGACATGCGGCAAGAGGCCCAATCAGAGTCACAGAATGCCTCTACCTTTTCTTCACCTCTACTTGACATTAGTAACCCAAGACCTGGTTGTTTCTTAATGTACTTCACTCTGTGTATAGCAGCTTCATAGTGGGATGTCTTTGGTGCATGCATGAATTGGCTTAGGCATTGTACTGCATACTGGCCTAGTAATGGTCAAGTATAATAACTTGCCAATGAGTCTCTGGAAGTTGTTTCTGTCCTTCAATGGCTCATCTGTATCAGTTCTCTGCACACATTCATCATATTCTGTGCTTGTTAGCTTTAGGTTTTGTTCCATAGGTGTGTCTTTAGGTTTTGATCCTGACAGTCCTGCTTCTGATATCATCTCTAGAGCATATTTCCTTTGAGACATTAGAATGCCTTCTTCGGACCTGGCAAACTCCATTTCCAGAAAATATCTAAGCTCTCTAAGGTATTTCAATTTGAAGCTTTTATGGAGGGCACTTTTAGCTTGGTGTATTTCTTTCAAGTCATTACCTGTGACAAGCAAGCCATCTACACAGACAAGAATAAGCACAAACTTGTTATTAGTAGTCTTAGTGAACAATGAATAATCATGTTTGCTCTACTAAAAACCAGAGGATAGCAAGGCCCGTGTCAGCTTCACATTCCATTGTCTAGAAGCTTGTTTCAAGCCATATAATGATTTGAGTAGTCTGCACACCTTATACTCCCCATGACTACCAAATCCCTCAAGAAGAGTCATATAAACTTCCTCAGTAAGATCACCATTTAGAAAAACATTATGCACATCCATTTGGTACACATGCCAATGTCTAAAGGCAGCAATAGCTATAACAGTCCTTACTGTGGTCATCTTAGCCATAGGGGAAAAAGTATCATGAAAGTCAATTCCTTCTTGTTGGGTGTAACCCTTAGCAACCAATCTAGTTTTAAATCTCTCCACAGAACCATCAGTATTATACTTGATGTTGTAGACCCATTTGCAACCTATGGGGGACCTTACCAGGTGGTAAGTCAACCACATCCCAAGTATGGTTTTGTTCTAAGGCTTCAATCTCAAGGTTCATAGCCTTAATCTACCTATCATCTTTAATGGCTTGTGAGTAAGAAGTAGATTCAATATTAGCTGAAAAAGAAGCAAGAAAAGACTGGAAATGAGCAGGGAGATGAGAGTAAGAAGCAAAGTGATGAATGAGGTAAAGGCATACAGTAGAAGCTGAAGGTAAAAGATGGTGAATGTAATCAGTTAGCCAAATAGATAGTTTAAGTGTTCTACCAGATCTTCTGGGCAACAAAGAATCAGTAGGAGGATCAATGGGAGGAATAAGAGGAGGATCAGAAGGATCAGGTGAAACAGTAGAGGGAAGAGAATTAATAGGATCAGGAGAACAAATAGGTGAATTACTAGATTGAGCAGGATCATTAGGAAGGGGAATGATGTCATTGGAAATGGATTGGTGGTCAGGTGTGTGAGATGGTAGAGGAGCAGAATTGGGAAAGAAAGGAGATGAAGTAGAAGATGGATCATAAGTAGCAAGAAACTTACTCGTGGGATGTTTGAAGAGATATAGATTTTCATGAAAGACAATATCCCTGCAAACTATGAATTTGTTGGCTTCAATGTCATATATTCTATATCTCTTTTGAGTAGTAGCATAGCCCATAAAGACACCAGGGACAGATTTAGGAGTAAATTTGTCATGAAAATCTGGTTTTGTGGCATAGCAGAGGTATCCTAAAGTTCTGATGTGAGAAAAAATAAGAGTTTTACCATGAAAAATCTCATAAGGTGACTTTCCATGTAGAATAACACTTGGTAGTCTATTAATGATATAAGTAGCAGTAAGAATCCCCTCATAACTTCAAGGGTATGTTAGCCTGAAACCTCAAGGCCCTTCCTACTTCTAGGATATGTCTGTACTTCCTCTCCACAACACTATTTTGTTGTGGAGTGTGAACACAGCTACTTTGGTGGATGATCCCCTTAGTTTTTAAAAGATTATAGAAGAGGTTGTTAAAAAAATCATGGCCATTATCTGATCTAAAGGCTTTAACAGTGGTTGAGAACTGATTTTCAACAAGATGTAGAAATTCAGTTAAAATGACACACACATCACTTTTTAACCTCAAAAGAAAAGTCCAAGTCATTCTTGAATAGTCATCAACAAGAGTAAGAAAATATTTGAATCCATTGTAAGTACAGACTCTATATGAACCCCACACATCCATATGTACCAGTTGAAAGACACAATTAGACTTGGAAGTACTAACAAGGAAAGGTAGCCTAGTTTGTTTAGCTAGTGGACATACAGGACAGTGACAAGTAGAAATACAGGACAACTGTTTATTTAAATCATGGATCTTTTTCAATACTGCAAGAGGTGCATGACCCAACCTTTAGTGCCATAATGAACTTGAATTTGACTGAATTGAAGCGGACACACAATTAGAGGCAGAAGTAGTAACAAGTGTTGAGGGATTGAGGATGTAGAGACGACCCTTGAGTTTACCAATCCCCTTCACCATGCCACTGAAGAGGTCCCGAAAGACACAAAAATCAGGATAGAAATGAACTGAGCTGTTTAACTCTTTTGTATATCTAGAAACAGAGAATAGATTAAATTGGAATTCAGGAACATAAAGAACATCATAAAGGATTTCTGAGTTAGGCAAAGTACATGATCCAGTATGAGTAACTTTAGTACTATTTTCATTTGGTAAATGTACAGTAGGTGATTTGAGTTCAGGTACATGGTATACTGATGATAGTAGATGTAAGGCAGAAATAATGTGATTAGAAGCCCCAGTATCTATAATCCAAGGTCTTTGGTTAGTAGTAAAGTTACCTGCCATGTTGGCTGAGGCATCAGAACCCTTTTCCTTATTCAGTAGCTTGAGAATTTGTTGATATTGTTCAGCAGTGAAAGGATGGATAGTTGGAACAACATTCCTATGCACACCAGCGTTAACTTCCTCCCCAATAGTCACATTATGTGCTACAGCTGATGATTGTTCATATGATCCTATTTTCCTGTTGTTGCATTTGAATCCAGATGGGTATCCAATCAATTTGTAGCAACCTTCCCTCGTATGACCCTTCATTTTGCAGTAATCACAGTATAACCCAGCATTTCTCTTAGGCTTAACATTGAAGGCATTTGCAGAAGCTAGTGCAGTATGATCAATATCCACAGGAGCACTTCTTAATATACCACCATGTATTACTAAATCATTGTTCTTCCTCTGACTTTCTTTCTGAATAATCATGGAGTAGGCTTGATCAAGAGAGGGTGTTGGATGCATCATGAGAATTTGGCTCCTTTGTGGTATATAAGTGTCATTTAATCCCATCAAAAATTTCATGAGTTTCTGTTGGCATAAAAATTCAATGAATGGTCCTGACCTCTCACAATCACAAGGTTCTGGAATCAACGACTCGAATTCATCCCACAAATCATTTAGATTTGAAAAATATACTGATACACTAGAAACTCCATGTACCAATGAGCTAATCTCTATATTCATGTGATAAATTTTGGTTGAATTTACCTTATCAAACCTGGTCTTCAACATAATCCAGACTTTCTGTGCATTTTAGGAGAATACAATTCCCTTTCTAAGCTCCTTCGCCACCGAGCTCATTATCCACGATTGAACAATTACATTGCATCGATCCCACTGACGCAATTGGAAGGTATTGTCGACGTACAAATCTCTAGTGCAGGTTCCATCAATAAACTCCAATTTATTCTTCCCAAGGAGTGACATTTTCATAGATCGACTCCATTCCGAATAATTTTCAGTTCCTATGAGTAATTGTGGGACGATTTGTAAACCAGGTGTGTAGGAGGGATGTACATACAAAGGATCATTACAATCAATGTGTTGATTGTTTGCATGTGAAGATCCTACTGTGTTTTCAACTGTTTGATTCGCCATTGAAGACAATTTTTAAAGTTTTGAGATCAAAAATTGAGCTTGAGAGACGATGATGAATTGAGAAATTTTTTAACCCAAAACTGAGAGAAATCAAAGAAGAGAGGAAATTTGAAGATCGGAGTCTGTCGCTCAGAATCGTCGAGCATCGTGGCTCTGATACCATGTTAAAACTAGCCCTATGGTAGCCATTAGAGAGCTTTGGGCTGTTAGTGAAGAAGAAGAAGATTCTAGAGAGAGAAAATAATGCAAAGCTCTTATTCAGTGTAATCAATCTCTTAACAGTGATTGTGCATATATATATATATATACTCTTGCACTCATCTAACTAACAACCCTTATACACATGTGCTAACTAAGAACTCTAACTGATTCTAGAAGTGTACATCTTAAATAGCTCAATGTACAATCACTACTTATCTCTACATAACCTATTTACGTACATAGCATAAGAAGTTTAAATTAAGGGAATTAAATTGAACCCCCTAGCTCAATGTAGCTTCTGCCGGAAAATAAGTAATACTAAGAACAAATGTTGTTATGCCTAGTCTCAAATAAGTTGGGGTCGGCTGTATGAATCATCACTGACCATGTTAATCCATTTAAGTCCTCTCATGCCAATACTATGCAGATTAATAAGTAAAAAATCAGATTTTAAAAATTAAAACTTTGAAACTTTCATAAAAGAAAGAATACAAAATTGGAAACACACAAACCAAAATAATCCCACTTAGATTATCTGTAGAGAAACCCATAACTAAAACTTCTCTCTTTTATTTTTCTGTTGCTTTTCTTCTTCTTTTTTTTTCATGGAAATCTTCCAATCATCAACTTTTTCTGTTGGAGTATTTTGGTATATTTTCATAGTAGTTAAAAATTGAAATTTGGATCATGGCGTGAGTTGCATATTGTCAGATCCAGCTCATTTAGTCAACCTATATTGTTACTTCATAGGACAATAAGTTCGAAACTAAAAATACATGATGCTGTTATAACCATCAACTGTGTGTTATATTACAAAAAAAAAAGAAAAAAAAAAAGAAAGAAAGAGCTAAATAACCTATTTTGTCAGTCATCCACAATCATTTAGGACAAAATGGTTGATACTTTTGAAGCCGTGTATAGAAATTTCAAATTATTTCAAGCTAGCTGGAGAAAGGCTAATGGTAAAAGGACTCAAACAATAAAATGATACAACTTATATTTTGTTGTTGGTTAGGTGAGTGGTTTTTCACATGAGAGGCATGTGATCAATTCCCCTCACCAGCAGCCTCCTCAGTCAAAGCTCGTCGCACTGGGCTTGCCTAGTGCAGTGTGGTTTGCGAGCTATTACACAGTAAGCAGGTTACCCACTACGCACCCAAAGGGTAGTCGGGTGCGGGTTTTCCTTTCCCTGGGAATTTTCAAAAAAAAAAAATACAATATTTTTGTTAATTATAAAATGATTAAAATTCAATATTCAAAGTTATAACCCCTGAGGTGTGAGTCTTGAAAACAGTTGCAAAGATACAAGATGAGTGTCAATACAGTAACTTTGTAAAGTTGCAATGGATAAAAAGACAAGTGCAAAACGGAGTAGTGGTTTGCTAAACAGAGAGAAAAAAGAACAATTTTCCTCTTCAAAATTGCTACATAACTTTACATGTTTGGAGGGTGATATTCATAGTTTTTGGCACCTCCATCTCTACCAAACACAATTCCTCACTTGTTATCTCCCCCTTGGACCAAAATAGGTTTATACAAAAATGAAAAGGGAAGGACTATTGTGGTATTCCCTTTCTCTTGCCATGACAAACTATTCTAACATTTTTGACGGATACAAAATGTTTTGCCTCCAAATGCAACACCTTGGACATTCCAAGCTACTTAAAAGGACGAAATTGATCTTCCACGCTAAACTTTTTCTACTCGAGGCAAGGATGTGTATTGAAAACGGAAATGTTCCTGAGTAGGATGGCTCACTCCTCATCATCGTCGTCCTCCTCCTCCTCATCGTCATCGTCATCGTCATCGTCATCGTCATCGTCATCGTCATCATCATCATCATCATCGAGCGTTGCCTTCCCCCTTGGGGGCGTATATGAAGGACAAGTAGGAAAATTATCCATGTTCATTCCATGGTAAAGTGCCATAGTTCGTAGCATTTCAGCAATTCCTTGATTGTGCTTCACCTGATAGGCTTGAAAATGGCGTATGTGATCCAAATCCTCCTCGATACTTGTTATTCGGTTGGGTATTGATGAAGATGCATAGGCCGAAGAGCGGGGTATATGAGATGGACCTGCAACATTGGATGCCTGCCTCTCATCAATGTGTCGGGCAGCCATCAACACTTCCTCACTAGGATCATATTGGACTCCTGATTGACTACGTAAAGCTGCAAGAAGTTGTTCCTTCAAGACCTGAAATGCATTAAAAAATTCATCAGAAATCTCATATTTCACATCTTTAGCTAATAAGTTAGAGAGATACTAAAAATGATGACTATTGTTCATTAGGTCGTTTGTGATGGGCCCATAAAATTTTAGGCGAATTTTGGAAGGATCTTGAGATTATGGATAAAATCAAGAATGTCCAAGGTACTCCTAAGGTACTGACGCAAAAGGTGGCAAATGCATTCAACATTTGCCATATACACTTCAATGCCCTATGCGGAGAACCTATGTCCGAGAACTATACTTTCTCGAACAATGAAATAACATTTCTCCCGATTCAAAATAAGTTAGTCCCTTCACTGCAATGCCGAACTAGAATATAAGTGATGAAGCCGATCTTCAAATGTTAATCACACAATATCCATGAAAATTATTTTCCATAACTTTTCTAATCACATCATAGAAAAAAGAAAATTGTCATCATATACCTTTGAAAAGATGATCAATGCAATGATCAAAAGACATTCTCCTATATGGTAATGTGCCATAAGAGCATGTGAATATGGTCTTTCTTGTTCCTCTAAGGCACTAGACAATACTTATAAGTAGAATATCCTTCAAAAAAGCAATACTCCTAATACTCTTGTCACTCTATTAACACCAAAATTTTGGGCATCAAATTGGGCTAGATACAAGATTGGACCTGGGTAGGAGACTCAGTAACTTATTAGGTCTTCAACAAAATGAGCTTAGTTCCAAGCAGATGATATGCAGAAATCAAATCCATAGCATTCCCAAATAAAGAAGGGAAGTTATCATTGCTGACTTCATCACACTAGGTTCTTACATAGTCCGACTAAATCAAGTAACCACCAGCCCTAAGAGTGTAGAGCAAGCAACATCTGCTGAACGTGAGAATATCATGGTTAGCTGACTGGCAATGGGAATAGCCCGATAAGCAGTTTGCCACTACGGTACTAGGACACTTTGAGTAGCTTAGAAGCTTGTAGTGCAGAAGCAGAGTCCCTCTCCATGCTAATCATTTGAATAATACGTTGAGTAGCTTATATATTAGTTTGAAATGCCCTTATTCTTTTAGTTACATATAGAGTTCAATGTTTCAAGGTTCTGACAGTTCAGGAATCCTATTTTATATATAAAACCTTGTTATATTTCGTTAAGAAAACTTTGAAGACACTTAATAAATAATAATTTGTGAATTTGATCTTTCGTTCAATTCTTTTCGATTTCTCTCCTCTTCTGGTGCTACATCACCATCTAATAACAAGGCATTAGGAAGATTGTTCATGATCACCAATGATAATATTATATAGCAAAACATGATAACTTGACCAACCTTTTTCTCAGCAGCTTCTCTTACTTTGCCCCAAAATGCACCTGTAACATTTAAGTTAATACAGTTACTAAACTTTTAGCAAAAGGTTAAGAATTCACCATCAAGGCAAGCTCAATATAGATTAAGAATTCACACTGAGCAACATGAATATAGCTAAAAACCTTAAGCACCACCGATTTGGCATTCAACTGTAAAAAGGATCAAAATAAACAGGGTTTCAAAGAAACATTTCTGAGAAGAAAAGATGTAGGCATGTTACTTCAGTCAGAAGACTTTTTTCCATAAACAGATATTTAGTAAGGAAAATTCGATGAATACTATTTGGAGTTGGCTATATAAATTCTAGATATCTACTCTGCTCCAATCAGGTCAATCTATTCCATTATTAAATAATCTGTCATTCAAATTGTGTGTTCTATAAATCTCACGCTTATTCTTGCATAAGCATACTAGACTGTTACCAAACTCAAAAGGATCTTGACAAACACCATACTTAGTGTAAGTGTAACGAACTAAAATAACTATAGCTTTGTGTCAATTAGTTGGTATTGCCTACATGGATCCTTTCCTTTCATTGTGTTATCTTTTTGGCTAAATCTACAATGATTTTGAAAAGTTTCAGTTATTTGAGATAACTTCCCCTATGTGACATTTGATCTACCTCATCCCCTTTTACTCCATCAATCATCATAATGTTGCACATATAGATTGGTACATTCAAATGTCTTCATATTACGTGCTCAAACGATGATCCTTCTCTTATTTTAAACTCTATATCTGCTACTTGCACCCTCTATCTGGTATGGTCATTTATTGTATGTCCATGTATTCAGGCTAATGTTCGCATTACTACAGCATCCATTTTTTGGTATAGGTTCACTCCCATATAACAATATAACATTACCACTCTCATAACTTGTCCTACATAACTTCTCTTTTACTTGTTAGGTATCTTAAAATATAAAACTCATATAACATTTCTCAAGTTCAGTCATTCTATTGTACTTCTTTGTACGACTCTTCATTTATCATGACATTTTATTGAAAGGCTTCAACCTGAATATCAGAATTGCGTATAATAGGTCCATAATCTCGTCTTATCACACATTTTTCTTTATTTGGGCTAATTTGTCATGTAAATATGTGTCTTACTTTTAACTTATCTTAAGATCCTTATTTGCTAAAGTACTACCCAATGGTCTTAACTTCTTATTGACTCTCTTCTTCCTACTTCATAGATAGAAAAAAGAACTAGTACGTCTGTTATTTGTGGTACCCCCTCGTTTTATCAATTAACACATTATCATCTACAAAAAGTATGTGCAATGTAACCTCATCCCATATATCATTTGATTATTTAGCTCGTCCTATATATTGTTGAGTGGCTCATCCATAACCACAATGAACAAACCCGAGCGTAAGGTAGATTGATGCTGTAAAACTTTAGTTGTTGGAAAAACTATTGTTGAGGGAAAATCATTTGTCTCCTCTTTTTCACACTTGATACCAATTTTCTTACATATCCTTTATGGCCATTCTATATTTATATTAATTCTTTTCTTTACAAGCACCCCACAAAAGATTTTCATTGGCACTCTATTATGTAATTTATCTATGTCGATGCACATTATATGGAGATCCTTCCTCTCTCCCCATAATTTTTCGCCAATCTTCTTCAGAGTGTTATAATCTTTGCTGTAGATCTACCAGGGATAAGTCCAAACTGATTCTCCACCACCTTTATCACATCACTAAAGCTATACTCCATCACTTAATTCGAAAGTTTCATCTTTGACTCATACGTTTAATTCCGATGATTCTCAAAACTATGAATATCTCCTTCATTCTCATACCACGGTACTACTTTTTCACTTGTTTGGTATCTTTTCACTCTTAATTAGTTAACATGAAGCAGCTTAATTGCAAGTTGTGTAACAAATAAGTTTTACAAAAATGGTCAAGAATATTGATCTCTAGTCATTTTCCAAACAAAAATAATTGATAATGTCCATACCGCCACGATGCATTGCTTGAATCCCAGTCTCTTGTTTATGTCCCTTACTCCATGCATCTTTCCATTGCGTTACCTGATGAAACTTTTACAGTTAGGAAGGAAAAATCAAGAAATGAATGCAAAGGTTAACACAATGTTATGTGGAAAAGCTTCTCTTATACCTCCTCTTTCTCTAAAGACTGAGTTGTTGTTCGTCTTGATGTGTCTGAATCAATCTGTAATACAAGAACAATTCAGATGAGAGTCCGGAGTTAAGAGGATATTGAAAAGCAGGGAGCGCAGAACAATTAATGATACAGGGGTTGGAAGAGCAAAATGATTGGCATGAAGCATGAGACAGATGAATTCAGTTTTCACTTTTCAGCAATACCTCCTCCATCTCAGTCCCCCCTCCCCCCACCCTAACCCTTTTTTTAATGACCAACAAATTCAGAAGGCCAGTGGTGCATGGTCGAAACTCGGTAAATAATGTGTCTGCCGCTCTACACTTCTCCACTCTATAACAGTCCAAAATTAAGCTAGCCCAATGCTCTGGGTTTAGAATTCCTCTTGTTTCACTTCTTCTTTACTTACATCCTTATCAAACAAGGTAAATGTAAGTTACCTCAACTTGTAACTCCCATTTATATCTTCCTTTCCATCTTAGCTAAAAGGAATGTGATGCACAGAAACATATGAAAACAATATGACCAAGAAGTCAGGACATGAAATCAGCTCATTTAATTTTGTCCATCATACGCTAAAAAACAGAAAAATATTGTTCTCGAAAAAGAACAGAATACTTATAAATTCAGACTATAAACTAATACTTATGGAGTTATTGGCCTATTGAAGTGACCTACATATTAACGACCATCAATGAAATTAAGCACATATCAGTACTGAAGGCAATAGACGTAGAGGAACAACACTGGCCGGTGAAATCTACCAAAATATCCTTAAGCATGAATCCCCAAAGGAGACTTGCTTCAAGACGCTTCTTACCATAACTCTAGCATGGGATTCAAAATGTATATGACTTCACTGGTCGTTCAGTTATATCAAAAATTTTAGAACAACAAGGATCAACTAAACATATTTGAGCATCCTAATTAAAGTCACAAGGAGCACATGTAAAGTCAAATTCTGCCAGTCTCAGAATTATTACATAAATTATTTTCATCATTGTAGAGTACAACAACAACAACATACCCAGTGTATTTTCACAAGTGGAGTCTGGGGAGGGTAGAGTGTACGCGGACCTTACCCCTACCTTGTGCAGGTAGAGAGGCTGTTTCTGATAGACCCTCGGCTCAAACCAACCATCAATACAGCAGTAAGAAAAGGAAATACAACAATGAAGTCATGGAAAAAATTGCAATAATAACAGCTAGATAATAACAACAGAAGCAGCAAGAGATAGTAATTGTAGTCTAAGAACAAGACAAAACTTAGACTAATACTAAAACTACTGGTAAGGAACAGAAAGGAAGCACGGTCAGCTACCTACTAACCTACAGGCTACAACCCTGATTCTCGATCTCCGCAACCTTCTATTATGGGTCATGTCCTCGATAAGCTGAAGATGAGTCATGTCCTGCCTAATCACTTCTTCCCAATACTTTTTCGGCATTCCTCTACCTCTCCTGAGACCTACCATATTCAGCCTCTCACACCTACTCACTAGCGCGTCTGTGCACCTCCTCTTCACATGCCCAAATCATCTCAGCCTCGTTTCTCGCATGTTATCCTCCACAGGGGCCAGCCCCACCTTATCCTGAATATCTTCGCTCCTGACCCTATATCTCCGAGTATGCCCACACATCCATCTCAATATCCTCATTTCCGCTACCTTTATTTACTTCATCATAGTAAAGTATATAATGAAATATATTGTAATGGCGAGCGAGGGCACAATGTTAGAATTTCTCCTATCATGAGCTATATAAGATTGAATCGAGGCGTGCAAACAACCTCTTTGCATTAAAGTAAGGGAATGGTTTGCGCAGGTATTCAGCCACTCTCCTCGGGTCCTACACTAGCTGAGGAGCAGTTTGTGCACAAGGTAAGCTCTTTTAGTATAAACTAATATAACAAACTAATTCATGTAACAGACAGATGATAAACCAGAAAATGAGATTGCTTCAACAAGCTCTGAATCCAAGAAAAGAACAACTTTCCACATTGGCATGTCTACTGAGCAATGTCTTATACCAAGGGTGATACCTAGTGGTCGATGAATGGTCGATGAAGTGGATGTAGTGGCAGAGCTAGGAATTTATGCAATTGATTCAAAAAAATGTTAAAATCTCACACTTGGGACTTGAACCAATGACTTGAAGCAACTTTTTAAACCCCTCTACCACTAAACTAGAATCATTTCTTATATCAAGAGAATTCAACAGTTCATATAAAAACATATAAAAAGTTTGTTGTATCATCCGAACAAAGGGTATTCAATAGAATCACAGGGTTCAAACCATAGGATAGACAAAAAATTGTATGGGTATTCAATAGAATCACAGGGTTCAAACAATAGGATAGACAAAAAATTGTATGGGTGATTTATTCTGTCTAAGCCGTGGTGTCAAAGTTAGTCTAAGCCGGACACCTCCAATATCATAAAAATAAAAATAAAAATATATGGACAAAACCTTAAACCGCCCAAAAAGCACAAAAACAAAACTGGCATAAGAAATGGGACATTAAGGGGAGACACATGGGGTTCTCCCATTTTTTAATCGGAAAATGCCAACCACTATCAAATAAACAATTGTTTTTTGCATGTAATCACGGTATGGATGAGAAAGAGAAGTTTACATGATAATCACGAAACCTGACGATCGGGAATCGTTCAAGAAGCCGTCGAAATTCTAGCTCGTCCATGGCCGTAAATGGATTATTTTTCCTTTAATTTGCCTTCGTCAGATTTGTGACGAAGTCTTTGCCTTCATCAGATTTTGATACCAAATTTCATTTGCCTTCTCATCAGATCATAACTAAGTTTCCATTGGCTTCCTCAGATTTGTGACAAAAGTTTCCTTTGCCTTATCAGATTAATAACAATATTGTTTCGTTTGCTAATTCTTCAGATTTTCACAAAGTATTTGTAATAATTTTGTGAGATTTTTGACAATATTGTCAAAAAGGTAGCAGTGCTTTGGTTTGAAAATTGAATGGAAGAGAAAGGAAGGGAAAATAAAAAGGAGAAGAAACGAGAAAGAGAAAGAAATGAAAGATTATTTTCTTTCCCTGCTTCGTTTGAATTGAAAATTCGAATTAGTGAATTTATTCAAAAAACAAAAAGTATTTAGTAATAGAATAACATGTGTTCTAAAGTTTTTTTTTTCTATGAGTATTCAAAGGTTATATAAGTGTCCACTTTTATTGAGATGGTATGCAAAAATTAATAAAATCGAATTAGGGTGTGTTTGGCCACTGCTACACAATTACTAGAAGAAACATACGGAGTATGTGTTTGTCAAAAAAATTAAATAAGCATGTTTTATATGAACAAAGCAAGATTTAATCGGTGATAGATATTAATGTATTTAGGAAATATTAAATGTGTTGTTACATACTTGGTAAATAAAATCTTTTAATTACCAAATCAAATGTTATTAGTTACTAGCTAGTATATTATAATGCATATTTTCTTTTTTAACTTAATAAGTATTAAATAATTATAGTTCGATATAGCAAGAGTAATACCCCCAACACTAGATTGAGAGCATAAGTTGTACGGACTGGCGTTGTGAGGTTGAATTTGTGCACCAATAGCGCAAGACGTAGCGATTCGCGCTGCTGGATAGAGAGCATAACATGATTGTCATCACAGCTAGATAACATCGGGACGGTTAGGAGTGTACATGGACCGGGTTGGTTCGATTTTATCAAAATCAAATCAAATCAACTATATCGGTTTGGATTGGTTCGGTTTTGTCGGGTTTTTTGGGTTTTTGAATTTTTTGTTACTTAAATATTATTTCAATCTTACTTTGTTAAATATTTGATAAATAAATATATATTTAGTAAAAATATAAAAATTTGACAAACATATTATCGATTAAAATATTCTTATGGGAGAATTCTATTAGTAACACATAATAGTTATTTTTTTAGTCATCTCGCAATAATTTTTCGTTGATGTACATTTTCAGGTTAAACCGAATTTAGTAATTAAACATAAAAACCAATATGATACATAAATATTAATAATCACTTCACATTTGAAAAATATTTAAGAATTTAATAGATCTTAACATATGATATGAATATGGAAGAACAAAGAGATAGACGTATTCCAGTAACACTTGATAAGAAAGTGATCATACAACTGTCACGACCCGAAATTCCCACCTTCGGACCGTGATGGCGCCTAACATTTGACTTGTTAAGTAAGTGTGATGACCCAAAATATCATCTTTAAATTTAATAATTAATTATGTGATCTAAGCACTATTTACCATTTCTCGACTTCCGTGTGCAGTCCGTAAAAACTTTCCGGAAAGTTTTCAGGTGAAAAATGGATTAAAATGTGAATTAGATGTTTAAAACATAATTGAGTTGACTTTGGTCAATATTTTGAGCAAACGGACTCAGATCAGTATTTTGACAGTTCCGGTAGGTCCGTATCGTGAATTGGGACTTGAGCGTATGCCCGGAATCAAATTCCGAGGTCCCTAGCCCGAGATATAGAATTTTGATGAAAAATTTAAAGTTTAAGTTCAAATAGTGACCGGATGTCGAATTATGTGCAAATGACCCCGAAATAGAATTTTGATGATTCCAACAGCTCCGTATGGTGATTTTGGACTTAGGAGCGTGATCGGAATTTTATTTGGAAGTCCGTAGTAGAATTAGGCTTGAAATGCCGAAAGTTGAATTTTTGGGAAGTTTCACCAAGGGGTTGACTTTTTAATATCGGGGTCGAAATTCGATTCTGAAAATTTTCATAGCTCCGTTATGTCATTTATGACTTGCGTGCAAAATTTGAGGTCAATTGGACTGGATTTGATAGGTTCCGGTGCTGT